TCCCCCCTCCCCCCTGGGTCACAGAGCCGTTAAACATGGCCCTGGAGAACGGTCACGTGGAGGTGGCCCGTCTGCTTCTGAGCCAGGGCGCCCGGCCCGACCACCAGTACTTCCTGGGCTACGAGGTCAACCTGGTGCCCCTAGAAAACCTTGACTGTCTCAGGACGCTGCTCGAGTTTGGCGCCGACCCCAACGTCTTTAGCAGGTGATGGTGGTTTTCTTTAAAGGGTTTTTGGTTTGGTTTGGTTGTGTTTGGTTTGGTAGGGTTGGGTTGGGTTGGGTTGGGTTTGGTTGGGTTTGATTGGGTGAGGTTGTGTTCTGTTTGGTTTGATTGTGTTAGGTTGTGTTGTGTTCTGTTTGGTTTGGTTTGGTTTGTTTTGTTTGGTTTGGGATAGGTTGGGTTTGGTTTAGGTTGGTTTGGTCTGCTTTGCTTAAGTTTGGTTGGATGGGGTGGGATTGAGTTTGCTTTGTTTAAGTGTGGTTGGATGGGGTTGGATTGGGATGGCTTTGCTTTGGTTTGGCAAAAGTTTGTTTGGTTTTAGTCTGAGTGACACAAGTGTTCCTGAAACAAAGATTTCTGACTGGCTCAATGAATATAACATTACTATACCACGACACCAAAAAGACGCGTAGTGCTTGTTGCAACAAAAACAACAAAGATTTGTACTTAATTAAGAAGTAGTTTTGAGTACTTCTTGCCATAAGCAAACGACGTCATCAGATAAAGTCCACTGGCGTCGTTGACCTAGTAGTTAGACTACCGGACTCGTAATTGTGAGATTAAGGGTTCAGGGATTCGAGCCTCAGCTTGGTCCGACGTTGTGTCTTTGGGAAAGACACTTTACACGAATTTCCCACTTGGTTACGCCTTTTCGGAGATGAACGTTAAACTCTGAGGTTCTGCCCTCTTATAAAACCTAAAGTGTTGATAGGGGCATTAAGTCTATATCATTTCAACTTTTTCACCAGATAAAGTCCCACGCAAAGCTGCAAACGAAGGAGATAACTCAATGTTTGCATGAACTATTTTTTGTCTATGCCATAATAATGAGTCGTATACGTATTCCTGTATTTGTATTGTTCCTTTGTCGTGTAAAGTACGAGTATGTACATAGGCATAAATCACTACCTTAGAATTGCAAAGTTCTATCTGGCATATTTGTGAGGCAACGTGTTGGAATCAGGCTGTCGTCAATTTTTGGGCATATTTAGTT